TGTAAAAACATAATATTTAAAGTACTTACAAAGGTTATCATCGCTATTTTCTATAAAATCGTCTTTTAAATAACCTAAATCGTTGTTATGTGCACTGTTATTTTCATTTCCCAATGCCAAATTCACTAAATTCCGACTTCTAGACAACTTAGCACGATAATTGAATGCCATCTTTTACTTATTAAACTAAATAGTAACTCAAAAACACAACAATTACATTTTGTATTCATCACAGTGTGGCCGTTGCTTCGTTCAACGTATAAGTGTCAAATCAGCTGATTGGTCCAAACTACGACACGAATGCGCGGGAACTGCCCACGTATAAGTCTCTAACTACTCTTAGGACTTTGTACGTTTAAATTCATGTTACATATGCCATTATACTGTCATAAAAAATCGTGTTTCTACGCAGAAATCTTTTTCTTTTTATAGCTCACATGATTCCTTACATCTTTATGATGTGTTTACCATTAAAAACTCAAATTAGCAAAATTGTTCGTTTGGCCCATATACATAGGACCCATCGATATATAGGTCGACGTTTGGCCAGTATCTCACCAATGAGCAATCTGTTCACTCGGGACTTGAAGACACCCAAGTTATATTCGTCAAGATACACAGATTCCGACAAGGAGTTCCATTCCTTAGCTGTTCGCATAAGAAAGCTGACGCGAAACGCTTCGTGCGACATAACATAACATAACATCACGCCTTTTTATCCCCGAAGGGGTAGGCAGAGGTGCACATTTCGGCACTTAATGCCACTGTACAATGTAACACCCACTTTTCACTATTTATGTTATGAGTCCCTTGTAATAGGGGGTGAGCCTATTGCCATATACCGGGCACATTTCCAGACTCCGTGCTACTACTGAGATTTTAAAAACCCAGTAATACTTGCCCGACCCGGGAATCGAACCCGAGACCTCTTGTCCGATAGTCGCACTTGCGACCACTCGGCCTAAGAGGTAGTCAGCTTCGTGCGAATGGGTGGAATGTCCACCATATATTAGTGGCGTCTTGCCGTTCGTCTGGTAGTACGGTTAGTATTGGTCATTTGCGCAGAAAATACCATTATCACTTTTTGGCCGGCGCGGGAATCGATTCCGTGACACATTGTACAGCAGCCGGTCACCCAACTATTGCCATGCAGTAGTAACAATACGTAATTTAGCGATGCGTTGCGATGCGATGCGATGCGATGCGATGCGATGCGATGCAGTGTCGATACTGACCGACTTGGCTTGGGATCGCTATCGTAAGTAGAAACGGATGTGAGATAATGATGCGGACTTATTGTACAGACACAACGGGCAAGTAAATCATGTACATTTCTTAACATTTATTGATGGGATAGACTTGAAGTGTCTATTGGTTTGCTTGTCGATAGAAGATGAGGATTCGAGACAGCAATGAAATAATATGATTCATCTACAATAACAGAGTTTTATTTAAATAAAATAACAATATTTTAATTAAAAAGAATAAACTAAGCAACCTCGGATTACAAACCTATAAGAACAGAGAATCGACAATTAATTGTCACTGCTTTAGCCCGTCGATCCTCACTTATATTCTTTAAATTAAAAACTAAAAGTAACAACACTATATTATCGAATAACATGCATTCTATAAAATATTTCAATTTGTAGGTATGATATTTTAATAGACGTTTTTCTTATGACACCTGTGTCACCTTAACCAAAGCAAAGACAATGCAAAGCATAGAGGCTTTTATATATAACATTCTAGTTTGTGCCAGCAACATCGCCTTGTTCCCGTTTGATTGAAAGTAGCCAATGTGTTTCAGATCATAACTTCTCCCTGTAACCAAACATTATCGCTGCTTACACCAATGGGAAAAAGGCGTGACGAAATTATATGCATGTATGTATATTAAATGAGTAGGCCGACCCACAGCTGCGAAAACTAACTCAGTGGTTTGAAAAAATATGAATTAGCATTGAAGTGGATAAGAGCAAATAAATCAAGATTTTATCAACCTAAAATTAAATAAGAAGAAAAATATCGTTACAACTGCGAGGTGACTGTGCACTGGCGAATTGTCCACGTCACTTGTGACAAATACACATATGGCAATATATTGACTCCGTTATTATTGACTCTGGTGCGATTTTAACCGCTCTGCTGGGCTCCTATTGATTGTAGCGTGATGTTTCATAGCCAATAGCCTTCCTCGATAAATGGACTACTCAATACAAAAGGATTTATTCAATTCGTACCAGTTGTTCTGGAGATTAGCGCGTAAAGCGACGGCAAACACTTCAAAATTTTAGGCTTTTTAATAAAAAAGTATTATATTCTAAACATATAAGAAAACCGTCGAAGTGTAAATTATGTGCATTGCAAATAATAAAAAAATAACTAGTGGAGGGTGTTACTAAATGGACACCGAACCCAAAATTGGTTTCATTTGTCTGTCTGCCTGTCTGTCAGTCTGTTCACGCATCACGCAAAAACTACCAGTCCGATTACGATGAAACTTGATATGATTATACTTTAATATTCTGGGCACAAGACTCAGTTCTTTTATCCCGAGAAAAAATATACACGAAAAAACAAACTTAATTGTGCAGCTCAATCTCTAGACACAGTTTCTGTACCGAACGCAAATATAAGTTTGTCGAATGTTAAGTTGTTCGTCAACATCTGCCTCATGCCGTACGAGTGGTGGGTCAACTGATTTTCCTCTTAAACAGACTTTAAACTGTCAAACACCAAGCGGTCACCGGTGACCGCAACCTATTGTTCTTTAATTGTGTCTATAATGATGGTACTCGACGAGTTAAATACCAAAACAAGGGCGCGATGTAAATGAGTCCAGCGTGATTTAGTGGCGATTGTCTCTGACTTCCAACATGGCGGCGCACGCTAATTACTCGCACCTCGTGTCTGTTATAAATATTTAACGTATTTCTATTAGGCTCAAGTAAGTAAGAAAGATTTTGCGACTACCTTAAGGAGTCACCCACAGAGTTTTGCTTTATTTTATTTTATCCCTTAAGACCACACGCGTACTCCGTGGAATGAACAATGAAGTTAGTACTTTGCAAAATAAAAAAGTATTGATAGGTAATTACTGAAAGTCAAAGTCAAAGTCAAAGTCAAAATTTTTTACGTTTAACAAGATCAACCCCGTTTAGCCCTGTGATTCGTTGGCTCATTGTAGTAGGTCAATCAGAGCGCTGTACGTCACCGGCGTGTCGACGTTGAACTTAAAATAAAATAGTACTAAGACCTCGGAAGGCTAAAGTCGATAATCGGAAATTTTGAGATCTGCTGAATAAGTACGAAAATTCCGAAAACTTATTATATAACATAATGTAATAGGGGGTGAGCCTAAAGTCATATACCAGACACAATTCCAGACCCCATGCTACTACTGGGATTTAAAAAACCCCAGTAATACTTTGCCCAACTTGAACCCGAGATCCCCTTGGCCAACGAGGCAGACTGAAAATTATTATTTCAATTATTTAATAAAACCACGAAAAATGTTGGTTGCAGCCTTAACTTGTAAATTCCACGCGAGTAATTTATGACTAATTAATGATATACCACTTGTAGTAATTACACGGTCGACCGCGAGTGAATGAGTTCGGGTAGCTCTGTGGCACGATACACATGGTACGACTAGGTGGTACGTCTGCAACTATGCGAGGAAAACTGGCGGGTAGACTATTACTTCTGTTTCTCGGTGAGTTGTTTAATTATATCAATGACATTCCAGTGCTATAAAAGCATATATATTCATTGTAAATTAGATAAAAGTTTTTTGAAATAATTATACATTTATGAATAGGGTAGTTTCCTAAAGTTTATTTTAATGTCCGTCTGGTACATTAATTTAAAACTTTAGACACGTAATTTTCTCACAAAATTAAATACTTTCGACGATAAATTAATTTGAAATATCGTGTGACGTCACCACGTGCCACATGTTGTAGCACGTTGTGACGTAACAACCCCCCACTCCTAAACCTAGCGCCATTTTATCTAAGTATTGCAACTTAATACGAGAAAATAAAAAAAAAATACATGTCTAATATTTTTTCATTATCTAAATGACGGACTAATTATATTATATTTTTAATTTTGATGCCCTGGAAACTACCCAATAGTGCCCGAAATTTAAATTTCGCTTGTCTTGTCTTCAAATTACCAGGAAGGCACTTTTGAACGTCAAACTAGAGGAGTTACAATTGCGTTGCCGGCCTTTTGGGATTAGCGATCTGAGGATTAGGGATTTGGAGATGGGAAGAAATTTCTGTGCCTCAGGTACCGCACTCATACGGGGAAACACAATACAAGCGTTGCTTCAGTGAAGCCGGTCGAGCCGGCCCAATTGTGCCGAGGTGTATGACTCTCCCACTTCGTATGTATGTATGTATGGGCTGTTCTTCTTATAGTTCTCCATAGGACACCCAACTTCCTACCAGCCAGTTGCGCTTTTGACTCTATATATGAGCCAAAGTTGAGCGTGGGCGTCAGAGTTACACCAAGAAGCTCAAGACGATCGGTTATCGGTACGGATACATTCCGGAAAGTAGGAGTCAGCGGAAATTGACTCCGTTTGGCGGAGAATAGACACGCCTGGGTCTTGCTAGCATTGAACCTAACCAAGTTGGCGTCACCCCAGTCGGACACCGCCTTCAAGGTTACTATGTATATAACATCATGTAATAGGGGGTGAGCCTATTGCCATATACCGGGTGCAAATGCAGACTCCGTGCTACTACGGGGATTTCAAAAAAGCCCAGTAATACTTTGCCCAACTTGAACTCGAGATCCCCTTGGCCAACGAGGCAGACTGAATTATTATTTCAATTATTTAATAAAACCGCGAAAAATGTTGGCTGCAGCCTTAACTTGTAAATTCCACGCGAGTAATTTATGACTAATTAATGATATACCACTTGTAGTAATTACACGGTCGACCGCGAGTGATTGAGTTCGGGTAGCTCTGTGGCACGATACACATGGTGCGACTAGGTGGTACGTCTGCAACTATGCGAGGAAAGCTGGCGGGTAAACTATTACTTCTGTTTCTCGGTGAGTTGTTTAATTATATCAATGACATTCCAGTGCTATAAAGGCCTACATAATCATTGTAAATTAGATAATAGTCGTTTAAAATAATAATACATTTATGAATAGTGCCCGAAATTTAAATTTCGGTTATCTTCAAATTATTAGGAAGGCAATTTTGAACTTCAAACCGGAGGAGTTACAACGTTGCCGGCCTTTTGAAATTAGCGATCTCAGGTACCGCACTCATACGGCGAAACACAATACAAGCGTTGCTTCAGTGAGGCCGGTCGAGCCGGCCCAATTGTGCCGAGGTGTATGACTCTCCCACTTCGTATGTATGTATGTATGGGCTGTTCTTCTTATAGTTGAGACGTCAGCAAGTCGCTGCGACGAGGCGACGACGGCGCAAGTTGCCGAGGGCAACTTCGGCCAGTCCGGAGTGTTCAACTGGCTCGGAATGCTCAAAGTAGTCTCATGTTAGTACATTGCCATACAATATTTCTACCACCGACACCATGGGCCACACAATATGTATCATTTTAATCACTTGATAGGTATAATTAACCAAAATTTGTTCATTCAAAAGTAGTCTCTATAGATCGGAAATAAGGTATATAACGGAGTTAGTGGAGAGAAATCACCGGTAACCGCTTGGGGATTAATCATTGTGGTTAGATTTTTTGTTTGTCTGTCTGTCTGTATGTTTGTGCACGTATTACATGAAAACTACTGACCCGATTCGAATGCGGTTTTCACAGAAGTATTTTTCTTCTTTCAACTTTCATATGTATGTTTGTGCGCAATTATCTCGCGATTGGCTGAATCGATTATGATGTAATTTTCAGAAAAGAGTTTCTTACAGTTAGGACACGGTTTTAATTTACTAATTAACTGAGTTCCAAAAAAAGAACGGGTTGAAGTCGGTTTTTTTAATGTAGTTGAGGCTTTAGATTAGATTATAGTTTGATACGACTGAAGTATGGTTCCTGGTACAGATGAAAACAAGAAGTGGATTACAGCACTGACTGGGATCGTCCTTGTGAAGCCTAAGCATGTGTTGGCCAACGCTGATGACATCGTAAAGATACCTCAACATGTGTTTGAGTAAGTATCATCTCTCACGGATTTCGATCACGAAGGCAAATCTATTTAACCTCTTGACTCATCATCATCATCATCAACAGCCTATAAATGCCCACTGCTGAGCAAAGCCTCTTCTCACACGAAGAAGGTTTGAGCATTAATCATTAGAAATTAAGTATAAGTCCAGATTTCCTCACGATGTTTTCCTTCACTGTTTGTCAGTGGTGTCTAAATAATCTTTAGAAAATATACATGTATAACTTGGAAAAAGTCACATTGGTACTTGCCGTTAGCAGGTTTCGAACCCGCACTCTCTTGCATGAGAAGCGAGCGATTGTTTACCGCGTGACCCACGAAGGGTTAATTAAACTGAAAGAAATGGAGTCATTTGCTATTTATATTTATTGACTAGATATTTTCTGATACAGGTATTTTATTAACTGTCAAAGTCAAAGTATTTAATTCAATTAAACAACTATTTGGTACTTTGAAACGTCAAGAAAATATACAAAATAATTAATAGTCTATCAGTCTGTCCGTTAATGAAACTATACAATGTATGTCGTATTTTTTTTTTTTAAGGGGGAAAATCATCGAATGTCTGCTCCCGCTTAGGTGAGGTGGGAGGAAGTGTCAGACTCTTACTGACTAAAAACCACCCCGTTCCTTCTCCTGCACTTCGAGCCGGAGCCCCGGTTACCCGTTAGGTTCTCTGTCGCAATGTATGTCGTATAAAAGGACGATTTAGATACTTTGATAATGTTACATTTCGGATTGATGTATAGGAATTACTTTTTTTACTAATAGGGGTTTCTATAAAATGAAAAAAATAAAACGCCAGTGGTTCAGTGTCTTTGTTCCTACGTGTAGTTGAAATATCTGCTTTACCAGGAGAGCCACCAAGGCAATGTTCGTGCCTGCGAAGGGCGCCGAGTGGGCGGTCCCGCCTAAATCCTACTCCACGCACCCGGAGTACGAGTACTCCACCGTCAACACCATCGCCATAGTCGAGCTGGACGTCGAAGATGTGAACGACTGTGAGTTTAAACTATATCCGTAAATAGTAAATTCTCCTATCAACTTTACTTTAGTGCTATAGGATAAGTATATGCTCCTTAGTAAAAGGCAAAGGGCTGATGATGATGATATTATTGTGTATGGATCCTTGAAAGAAATATTGTCACAAATTATTACCTTCTTTCGGATTAACAGCTTCACCTACAAACTGAGCCGATCAAAATGCTACAAGATTTTGTGTAATTTATTTTTGACGACTTTGTTTTACTTTCCACAAGATCGAATCGAGATAGCCGTCGGCTCTCTGATTGGTTAATTTAACTACCCAATCAGAGGGATACACGTGGCATCGATCGGGTTAACGTAATATAAACTCCCACTAAGCACTCTAGTCTAACTTGAAACGGCTCGAGCTTTCCTACATTAGTTACCTGTTTTTTGATTAATTTAAATGCTTTACGAGTAAATATCTAATTACATTGCAGTTCCGTTGAATCCAATATGTCTGCCGAGCTCCTCGTTCAACACTTCCAAATACCTGTACCTCACTGGCTTTACAGATGGTAAGTTAACATTGTGTGACGTCATAACGTTACGTTGTTATTCCCTCTGAAGACGAAGGAGAGGTTCACGTTGGGCCTATCGTATTGTTGTTCACTAGATGGCGCCAATGTAGAAAGACTTTTCTTTTTATCCAATCACAGCAGCCGTCAAATATTGAACGTCCAACGAAGAACGAGAGGTGCATACTAGTGCTATTTGCAAAAATACACTTGCCGGGATTGGCCGGGTCTCAAGTTCGATTCCCGGGTACAGCAAAGTATTACTGGGTTTTTAAAAAATTCTCAGTAGTAGCACGGAGCCTGGAAATGGACCCGGTATATGTCAAATGGCTCACCCCCTATTACATGGGACTCATAACATAAATAGTGAAAATTGGGTGTTACATTGTACAGTGGCATAATGTACACCTCTGCCTACCCCTTCGGGGATAAAAGGCGTGTTGTTATGTTATGTTATGGGTGTTACATTGTACAGTGGCATAATGTACACCTCTGCCTACCCCTTCGGGGATAAAAGGCGTGTTGTTATGTTATGTTATGGGTGTTACATTGTACAGTGGTATTAAGTGCCGTAATGTGTACCTTAGCCCAACTCTTCGGGGGTTGCGGCCGACATCGCCGCGACCGCGCACGCAGCTCATGAGGAAGAACCCCTCTGTTAAATGGACTATCCTATTCAAAAAGAATTATTCAATTCCAACCAGTAGTTCAAAAGATTGGCGCGTTCGAACAGACAAAGTCTACCGGTTGATATAATAACTATCGAGACGTCAGCCAAGTTCAGCAAACAGCGCGCGCCACAGTGTATCTTTACACGAACCACTTCGTGCCACTTTTGACCTCTCTATAACTCAAAAACTATTTAACGTAAACACATAAAACTTCGTACGTTTCATTTTATCCATAAGGACATGTAGAATCCAAAATTTCATGAAGGTAGCTCAAACAGTTGTAAAGATATGAAGGTCCAAAGTTCGCAAATTTTAGTATTGACTGACTGACATATAGTAGCAAATTCTAACCTACTTCCAGATGACCTAGAACCTTGAAATTTGGAATACAGCTCGGTTATTGTGTGTAACCAAAGGGAAAAATCCAAAAATAACAAAAAGTTAATAAATAAGGGTTGTCTCCATACAAACGTACTTTTCC